AAAAAAAAAAAAAAAAAAAAAAAAAAAAAAGAAAAGGAAATTACAGAAAAAAGGAAAGATCGAAGGTGCACGAGTAGCGACGAGTCGAGGACGAAGACGATCTCTCAGTGGCGCCACCACCTGTTTTGTGATTCATTAACTCACCGGCTTATCGGGATAAGGCAGACTTATCCGGGGCTCGAACCCGACACTGCGGCTAAACCCGATCTTATTCCAATGGCATCCCACCTATCCCCGTTTCAGTTTCACTCCTGAACCTGGCAATTCCCACTTCCAGACCGCAGGTATCTCCCCCTCCTGTTCCATTCGTTTGTGAAATCGCCATCTTTTCCATCCGTTTCGCGTAATGCACGATCGTTCGATCCGTCCCATTCGATTCGACGAGAATTCGATACGCCGTGAGCTTGCTCGTCGAGGGACCGCGCGTTCGTTGCATCTCGACGGATTGAGGAGTATCGATGATTCACTTTCGTTGTTGATTAACTGAAAATTTGAGACGATTTGGACAAAAATTTCCTTCCGATTTTGATTCGATCGAAAGATCGTGGCGCTCTTTTCTTCTTAAATAGATTTCCAAAAAATATATTTATTGTTTTTTTCAAACGTCAAGCTGACGCAAATTGCTCCTCGAATCATTCAGAAATGATTACTACCCTTCTTCCCCAAGATTAAAATCAAATTTGTATTTCGTCACAAATTCCTATTAATATCGCAAAATAAATGGAGACAAGAAAAAGTGAGATCATTGAACGTGAATGGGGCAAGCACGTCCGTCCAGTTTCAAAATCCAATTTCCTCTCGTGAAAGAAACGATCGATGGAGGAAGGAATCACTCATTTGATAAATCTGTTATCCCTTTCGGTCAATGCCAATATCCCGATATTTTGTCAACAGGCGGGCATACGGTCTGCGCGCCGGATTTTCGATACCCTTCCCTTCGAATAGTCATTAACCACCCCTTTATTATATGGCTAGGCGAGATCGGCATCCTCCTCGGCAGATGCGCCAAAGTCAACCCTTGTTGCCTTCGTCTAATGGTGTTGACAAATTGCTCGGCTAGCCGCCTAGGTTTCCCCAGGGACGGCTCCCGGTAAAACTCTTCTGGCCGCAGACTCATTGCCATTTAGACGTGCAATCTTTCAGATCGCTGCGCCACCCGAATAAGATGTATCGCGGTCCATCGACCCCGATTCTTCGCCATTGTGAATTGTAACGCGTGTGCTGAGTAATCGCGGGAAAGATATATCTTGTATTCGAAGCTTTGCAAATGATAAATATTATCGAAATATTATTGATACGAAGAAAATGGAGAAAATCCTTGATTGGTAATATTTAAAAGGTAGTTTTATTTTTTATCTCACGATTACAAAATTTTAAGTCATCTGTCAATTTCAGTTGAAAGGCCGTTTCTTATATACTTTGACTCGTTTCATGAAATTGTAACGATAGATTGTACGTAATAGATAATATAAATAGTTTTATCAATGTTTATTGATTGATTTCTTTTTTAGTGTTTGAACATTTATCGAGCGAGTATGCGATTTAGGTAATTGGGTAAATTGAACGACACTTGGAACCGATAATTTAAAATTTATCTTTTGCGTCTTCTTCGTAAATTTCTCTCGAAAAACTTGAAGAAGACGATGGCTGGATTTCGATTTAACTAATCGAATTTAATTAATCTAATTTCTTTCGCCCACGAAACACTTTCTCCCAATCAATTTTTTCCAAAAGCGGCCACGATAAATCGTCAATTTTATAGACGGCCATCTCACGGAGACTGGGGGGGACATTATAGACTCCAGAGAGAGACAGTTAAGTCGGTCGATGAGCCGAGCTATCAAGCCGATTTTCTGCCTCGATTTTCTCGATCACCGAGGCAATCGTGGCGCTCTTCTAAGCGCGACAGGAACCAAGCCCGTGGGATCAACATAGAAATGAACTGATTTCCTTCCCATTATCTCAGCTGGCGTGGAGAGCGGCATCGAGGACGCCTCCACCTCGGAAACAAGATTCGTGTACTCGGTAAGGGTTTCGATTGAGGCGAGGCGAGGCGAGGCGAGGCACGTGGGGAGGAAATTTCTGTGCGTGCCGATGTGTGAGAATCCGAAACCATGAGAAACCGTCGCAAAACTTGCGGTCTTTAAGAGGGTGTAATCCTAGAAGTGGTTGAAAATATAGCAGGTCTTTCTACGAAGTTAAT